AAGTGTTGGTCTTGTCTTCACCCAAGAAGTTCTTATTGCACACTTTAACCATGGATGAAAGAACCTTCATCCCCTGGTTCTCCTTCATCCATGCTTTAACTCTCGATCGACGTGTGAAGTTATCGTGTAAGGTATCATGAAGCCGATCGCGACGAAACTTTAGTACCCTCATGGTGACAAAGTCTGAAAATTTCATGACCCTGACCCAAGTGAACTTTGACTTGTGGCCTATTTCTCGAGACTATCCGTGCGTTCGGAGAGCATGGAATATTCACCGTCCCCGGGAATATTCCCCGTGCCGCGTTCGGAGGCGTATCTCTCTGAACGGCTAATCTCCGGAAATATTCCGCGCGCATGGAATATTCAACGGATTCCACGTGGAATGTGCCTCTCCGAACGCACCATATGTTTGGCCATGTTGGAGGCCATGTTTGGCCGGAATAGCGATTCGGCGTATGTCGGCTCACATTATCCGCGCTTTCATAGTCTTTTCGTGGTTTAAAACGCTCAAACATGTGATATGATGTTGCTCCCACGCATTAGGGCGGATGCCAATGTCACCTTACGGTCAAGTCAGGTCATTGACCTTTGATGACCTCGGTGCACTTTTCCGAGTTTAACATGTTTCTAGGATAGTTTCGTTTAGCTGATTTTGAATTTAGTATTTTGCAGCCATTTGAACATTTACGAAGTAGTTTTGATGCCTTCGTATCATGTTACGTAGCTGCCAGTGGTAGTGGACACCTGCTATACGGACGCCCATAAGTACCCCTACTGGTTGATCTGACCTGACCTGCCCCGACATGGTCTAAACGCATGAAGACATTATCTATGATCCAAACTAACATGAAATTTGTGATCAGCACAAAAAAAAAAAACGTATTACAGCCTTACTTTAGGAGGTTCTGACAGGTCCTGATTTTTCCGTCTTTTGGGTCTGTGACCTGACCTGGGCGGTGTTTCACGGCACGCTGCCAGCCGCTGCCAGCGCTGATGGCACTTTTGGTTTCAATGGAGACATCAACAAGCCTATACCCACAACACTACCGAAGGCTGACCTTAGCTCGCGGAATGCGCTGTCAGCGGCTGTCAGCACGACCGTGAAACACCGCCCTGGAAGGTCAACCAATGACCAAGGACCTTAAAATCGGGTATCATCGGCTTCGTCTCGTCACTCACGGGCAACACGCCTGTTTTTTTTCCGCGAGCTCTAGCTTAATCAGGGGCCGAACGGCAGGGGGTCCAACCGACACCTCCCAGCCCGCGAAGGCTGCGCCACGCACCGACCCGGAGCGGGCTAATTGGTCGACAAAAGCAATTTGAAGTGTTTTCAAAGTAATATTTAGGCTCGGGTTGGGTGGGCTACCATTTCTATATTTTTTTATTTTTAGTTTTAAAAAAATATCGTTTCAGGGCTGTGACGAAAAAATAAGTGGCCTAAATCCGATGAGAAAACAGGATTTGGGGGTACCCTAGGTTTGGTTACTTGCAGGAGTTGGCCCCCCCCCAAAACGCAAGTCTGGATCCGCCAGTGCCGCACGGCACGGGGTGGGCCCGTGATGACATGTCGTAGACGAGATGGTCCCGCTATTCGCGAAAAACCTCAGGGGTTTTTCGCGAAACCAAACTATAACTACATGAAGTACCAAAAGAATATGAACGGTGTTAGTCATCCCCGAGACACTGCCACTATAAAAAATAGATTTTGTTTCGGAATCTTTCCATGCACCTTCCAGATACCCGTAAATTTTGTGGATACTGCGGACAAGTTACATAGGTGTCATTCATCGAGCCGGAATATCCATGGGGAGTCGAACACCCCCAATATCCTCGTTACATTATCCTGAAGAACTCAAAGGTGTTGGTATTAGCAGAACGTACACTATTTGAGGTGTTTCAGGGGTGTCTGACACTGCAGATGTTCACAACAAGTGTTTTACCATTATTTTTTGACACCCTTCATGGGTGTTATCAAGCGATTTACACCTAGCATATCCCTCGCCCTGGCAGGGGGGTCAATGCGACCCCCTAAGGTTTTTCGAAGATAGCGTAAAAACGGCGGCGCGCAGCGCCGCCAAATTTAGCACAGCCTATGGGGCATCCTCTTTACATATGACCTGAAAATTTCAGGTCCGGGTGACCTTGGGTCAGGTCACCAGGTCAGAAAAACCGGTACAAGGTTATGGTCAAATTTCAATTTTCTTTTTGCAGCTGTCCAACTCACAGTTTATGACTGATTTCCTTCAAACTTTCAGGATGTGCTAAGTTTACCGAGTTGTATAGCATATAGTTCGGGTTTTTTAATCACTGACCTGAGGTCAGTTAGAGGTCATTACGTCATAATGTTAAAGGTAGTGTGCCACCTTTGAAAGATTTCCCATTTTATTTTTCCTAGGATAAGAAGCTTCTGTTTTTACCTAATATCGCAAAAAAATCAAAAATGGGCCTGGAATAGTGCCTTTTTCGCCTAAAAGTTTATCGGTTTTTAGATATGTATAACAACTGTAGTGGGCTCACCTGCAAACAGGCGTCGGGCAACAATCGCGAATGCGGCGCACTTGTGACAATAAGCAAAGGTCATTATAGTGTTACGACCATACGACGTACGGGAATGAGTTATCAGCTGTCTAATCGTAGACAACACAATGTCGAGCCTTAATTAAACTGTAAGCCCGTATTGGTATTGTTTCTTTTATTTGGCTGTCGAACATTATTTATGGTTTGAAATATGATTTTATGTAAAATAATTGATATGAAAAAGCCGTCTTATAAGTTATGACCCCATTTCACCACACGCAAGTGGCAGAAATGACAATGATCAGCTGACGCATTTTTCTTGGCCGAAGTCAGAGCGCGCGGCCCGACGCACCACGCGTATTTGGAAATTCCGACCTCGACGAGCATCAGAAGCCAACTAACAGGCGTGTTCGAAACCGCAGGAGCTGATGATGAACGGGTTTATCGAAACTTGATTGGATGAGCAATCCGGTAATAGCGATTTCAGTGTGTGCATTTATTGTTCATAGTGGTGTGAAATGTGGTTGGGGTACGACCGACAACCCGTCGGGGCGAATTTCGCACTGGGGTACTCAAAATTTGAAGAATTTAAGACGTTTCCATGAGTTTTGAAGGTATGGATAAGTTCTAAAAATCCGGTTCTCCTTATCTGGGCCATTAACTCCATACGGCCCAAGAAAGCTGGCACACTACCTTTAAGCCTATGGGAAAATACTAAATTCGGAAAATACTGGAGATATCCGCTTCGTTCTATCACTTTTGTGCTTTAAACCACAGTACTTAACAGCAGGTCACTTGGTGCTTCTTTGTTTGGTGTACTTATCCATGGGTCAGGTCAAATGAGATCAACTGAGGTCAAATGACGTTTTTGCCAATAACGTGTCACATAATGACGCTAGAGCTTAAAAAATGTTATCATTGTGTTCCTGCTGATCAGCATAATCGAATGATATGCGATATGATGCAATTTGGTTAACTTTAATTTAATTGATCAATTAAAGTTTACTTAAAAATTAATAAAAACTTACAATTAAGCAAGCTTAAAAAATACATCATTTGACGCGCCTTGACGTGCTGAGTTCACTGGTGCTTTTCTTTTTGCTCTATCTTAATTAGATCAAAAGTTATAGGCGAAAAACTTTTGACCTGTTTTTAGCGAAATTTTGACATTTATACCCCCAAAACCCCTTAAATATTGACCTAGAGCAACCAAACACAGGGGCGAGAACTCTACGGGGCCCACCTACCTACCAAATTTGGTGTTTCTAGATGCCATAGGAGCCAATCGCGAGGGGGGGGGTCGCATCGACCCCCCCCCCCCTGCCAGGCCGTGTTATGAAAAATGCCCTGCCAGGGCGAGGGATATTCCTCAAAAAGTCGTCAAGGGAGTACGATGGTAATATGAACGGTGTTCATCACCCCTAAAACACTTGAAATCTATAAATGGGATTTTTCTACACCTTCCAGATACCTGTAAAATTGTTTTGGGGAGTAATGCTGGCATTATGTAGGTGTCAAATATCAAACTGACACTCTTAAAGGTGTTGGCTCAGTTTTGTACACCTCACAAACTCCCTTTAATAATGAAGTTGACACTTTGCATGGGTGTTTTTGGGGTATCTGACACTCCAAATACACCCTAAGAATGCTTATTAGGAGTTATATAAAGATCTGTGAGATATATGTTAGCAGAACGTACACCCTCACGGGTGTCATAACGGTGTCCGATACCCCAAAAATTCCCCACAGGCATTATTATTTTTTTCAGTGTAACTTCAAAGCTTGACTCAGTCTTTGAAAGGAACGATTTCATTCAAATCGTTAGAGATCTATGTGAGTGCATCCCGGAGACGGCGGTTTCCTTAGTCGTTTCCCTCACCACATTTGGCTGTTCCGGCCGTCCTGTGTGTAATATCCGTTCTGTGATATAGACGGTCAAAATGAAAGCATTTGAGGTCCTAATTGGCGAGTTTTCGTGCCTTTCTTGAGTCTCATGTGGCTACGATTTGGGTCAGCTGTTTTGCATGTAGCTCAGTTGTCGCAGCCATGAAACATTGTTTAGTATTATCGTATATTGCTCTGAGAAAATTTAAAAACGGGGTGGGGTGTTTTTGCAGTGTATGATGAGTGTCAGACACTTTTAAATGTGTACTGTGACACTTATTACAGTGTCATGAAGCCTGTCATACACGGTTAAAGGTGTCAAACGCTCCCTGAACACCCATTATTGGGTATATAAAAACTCCGGTATGCAGAATAACCACTTACTCAGTTAACGGTGCTCAATTTTTTTCAGTGTGTCTGCCCGGGAGACACTGGTGCGGGGCCGAGGCGCCGTCCGGCCGGCCGGGCTGACATGTTTTCAGCCCCTCCGCTGCAGATAGCCGCCCAGGATGTGGTCCCCGCGCAGCGGCCGACTCGTGCGTCAGTGTCCTCTTGTTGCGGAGTTGCGCCTAGGGGCGATTTTGCCGCCTAGCGCGCTGTGCCATCGCCTCTACTGTCCGAGGGTCCGGAACTGGAGGAGATAGTGGGACTGGCGTCGGCGACGAGCGCTTCCAGTGGTCACGGTGCTCGGGTGAGGACGTTTCCTCAGACCGCCGTCTCTGGGCCGAGGTGCCGGCTGAACGAGGAGGGCCGTCCACTACCTTTCAGACGAGGGTACCCTAGAAGCTTCGTCTTCATCGTCCTGCCACGAGTGAGTAGAATCGATGGCCAAATGTGCCTGTTGCTTGTGTTGTGCTGTTGCTGTTTCGAAGTTCAGGTCAAGAAAATTTTCGAAATGACGTCGCCATGTCTTGTCTCTTTTGGTGTTCTTTTTGCACTCACACTTTAGCTAACAATGCTATTTATTCCTGACTCCATTCCAACAAATGCCGTAGCATGGCTCCGAACCTTCCACAACCAATAAGGCACCGGACATTCACTCTCCTTCCTTCAGATTCAGATCCAAAATCCCTCACAAACTCCGCCGGTTTCCGAGCACTCCAAGTCGGCGCTTCTCCACTCGCGGCTCTGATTGACGAGGTGAACCACTCTACATGACGTCAACTGCACCAAGTCACCCCGACCCGTCCGGCCCTGCTTTCACTGGGGCCGACCGCGCCGGCCCGCCCGCCAACAAAAAGACGTCAGTCGGCCCCTCGTCCCGGCCCGGCCGATATACCCACCTGGCTGCCGTCTTGATGGATGACCTTAGCGGCGTCCCCCTGCCGCTCAGCGACGGGGCTCCTTCAGCACGGGGAGGGTGTTTGAAGGAGTTGGGAAGGTGCTTTGGAGTGGGTTACGACCGGTCGAATGGGTGAGGGCCATCTCTCCATCTCCTCTCTCTGCTCTCTCGCCGGCCGGCTGACTGTCCTGCTGGCCGCGCCCGGGGCGGCGGCGGTGGCGGCTGAGTCGGTAGTCACTCCATCAGCGGTGTGACATGGGCTGTGTGGGGGGCGCCGGCCGGCCGGCCGACTGTCCTGCTGGCCGCGCCCGACGCCCCCGGCCCACAGTGGGCGATCTGGCCGGTGTAGCCTCGCGAAACCTATCGGCATTCATAACATCCATGTTTTTGAAGCTAGAACCACAATATTTAGGATCAACCTTCTTGAATATCCAATGAGCATATGTTTTAAAAAAGGACTATCTCTTATAGGATTTGTGCTCTGTGGCGAGCTTGCAATTTGCCTAATTGCTGCTCGAATAACGCATGAATTCTTTTGAGGGTAGGTCGAAATTTATGACGGTATGAGCTGGGTAGGACATTGGAATGGTATGTACCTCCGTAGAAAATTGCTTCCAAACCAATTTTTTTATTCAAACGATTATGCCCTACCAATTTATACATATCATGAAACAGCGTAAATCTCACCCGGCAAGGCCCCATTTCATAACGTGACCCAAGCAGCGGGTTTGGTTTTTGGTAAATAACTTCGCAAAAAATGGCCGCAGAACCACGATTTTGACATTGTCGTGTTCGCCTTGCTCAGGCGCGTCGAATGGTTTACTTTTGTTCAGGTGAGGTCACCGTAAGGTCAACCTGACCTTGACCTCGAGTCAAGGTCAGGTCAGAGGTCTTCAAATCACGAAGTTGGTCGAAGGAGGTCATATCGCATATCATTCGATTCGGCAGGTCTTCCGGAGTCCATTGGTGACCTTGTCGACTCTCTAGCTCAATTTGATCAGGAGTTATTGACGAAAAACTCGTATGACCCTAGTGACGTCATAAATGACGTCATGAAAGGTCAACAATGCAAAATGCAGCATCAGATCTTGCAAGGAGTGCATGAAGTAACGATACCATGTACTTGAGACAGTTGAATATCATTCCTGGCCTCAAAATAACAGTTTTCATATTTCCCCATTGACTTATAGGTGAGGTCACGTGACCAACCTGACTTAATGTGACATTTAGGAAAAATCTGAGACATACAAGTTGTAAGACCTCTGAAGGACAATAAGTCCTGCAAGTCTCACCTCCCTGTGAAAGTTACTCTGGCACTGAGAGCGTTGAAAGGTTGCGACATCTGAGGATCGTGCAGAGGTTCATGTATGACGTCATAGGTCAGTGACCTGACCTGACTTGAAAGTGCAATTGGTGTCACAAGATCCAGCGTGCATCAAAGGTCAGGTATGCCAGGTTGTAGCTCTCTATTGCCTGGGTGTTTTGAGCTATCTCGAAAACACCCTTTGGGGCATTTACCACTTGTGCTCAAGTGCACCAAGCCACGGCCAACCCTTAGAAGAAAAAAGTGTCTGGATGCCAGGGCTGCAAGTGGCTGCAAATTTTCACTGGCTCCCCTAATAGATAGTGTCCTATTGCATGCGATACGGCATCATTTACAGTTCATCCTCGTAAAACTTTTTTTGCTGGGCTTGGTTAATTCATTGAACGTAATGTTCAGTGGTAGAAAAAAATATAAAAAGTTAACCTAATTATATGACATTTTGAACTGATTTTGTCTACTTGCTTTCTATGGCGGAATCGTCTAAACATCTAAATTTCACTTTCCATGCAAAATGGATGCTCAACACCTAGCAATTTCATCGTTCCGCAAAATATTCAAAGAGCGTAAAAATCGGCTGTGATTATCCCCCTTATGAAGTGTTACGGAACGCTGTCTTTAACGATACTTTTGTCTACGAAAAAATGTCTCCTGAGCCATGCAAATGCACTAATCGTAATCTTTGATGAATTTTCTGTCGACTAGTATGCGTTGTTTTCCAATTTTCGGAAAAAAGTGTCTTTGAGGTTTCGCGAGGCTAGACCGGCCCGATCGCCTACCATGCGGCCTAGCGATCCCTGAGGGTCCCGCGCCCGTCTCTGTTCCCAGTCCTGCCCTCGGGGTGTAAGAGAGACCCTGACCGAACTACTGGCGCCCAACTTGAGTTGCCCGTGTGGTATACAGTGCTTAGAGCGTTTCCTTCCCGTGGTGTGGCCTATTTTTCCTCGCGGTGGCTTACATGCGTCTCGGTTCACAACATGTCATCAGTCATGAGATGATCGGAGTATTGAAATCTTATTCAGAAATCTGACAACGCTGTCGCTGACTAATTGACCACGCCGGGTTTGACGGCACTGAATTGAGACGGTCTTCGTCAAACAACGTCGGGCTGTTGTCGACTGACGGCCAGGGTTGACCATGCAGCTGGTGTTGATGGTTTTGATGGCAGTGATGGCTCCCGGTGTGACTGGTGCAGCGACTCTATCACTGGCCTGTATCGTGGGCCCGCGGCGGTGGGCAGTGGGTAATTGCCCCGCGCTCCCGCCCGTCTGGCGGCGCCGGGTGGCCCGATTCACCGGCCCGGGGCGCCGGGCCGTGACGCTCCCCTGCCGCCGCGGTGACGGTCGTCACAGGCCGTGACGCCAGAGCTGACCGGCCTGCTCTCCGGGCCGGAGGGAGGCCGTCACACCGGCGGGCTCACACAGGGGCCGCCTGCCGCACCGGGTGGCGGCGCAGCACACGTGGTGTCAGCTACACGTGCAGTGGGCACAGACGGGCGGAGCACTGAGCTACCAACAAACTGCCGTGTGGTGACGTAGTGGAGCAACATGCAGCGGAATTAAGGCGTTATGCATTGAATCGCTCCTGACTTTCGATTTCCTTTTCGCAACTATTTGTCGGATTTTTAATGTCTGCATAACAAGAGAAAGAGTGGGTTTGGTGGGTGTCACGGTAGAAATCTGCCGCCACCGTTTGCCATAGTTTATCGGTCAGGTCCCAGCTGCCATGAATGTGTCACACGCCTGACGAAGTGTATAGCAAACAGAGCTACCGGGGCCCGTCAGCAGCTCTTTACAGATCAATGTGACCACCCTGATTGGTGGCATTCCATGATGTCTTACAGTGATGATAACCTACCACAAGCCTTGGTGGCTTACCGTTGGTGGTTGACAGAGCCATTAGTGCTTTACCAGATCCACGGTAGAAAATAAATTTTCCGTTACAAGCAGCATGAGGTAGAAGCACGATTATTTCAAGCAAGGTACTACTCTTTCGGTGTAAATCTAAAATAGCCTTATCAAAAGCACCGATAAATTCATTTTTGATGGAGGCGTCACATATTTATTTGACTTTTGCATACTTCACTGCAGGCTCAAATGCAAATGCATTTTTTTTTTTTTAAAGCAGGCTGCAATTTTCAAAGCCAGAAAAGTGTCGGTTCTCACCCACGAAAGACGCCGCGCCATTGTCTCTCGGTATGTACCGAGGTGTGAGCAGCAGCTCAATTCCTGCAGTTTATCGAGAGGGGGCCGTAGTTACCTTGGTCGGCTCCCTGACAGTGCCAGCGGCAAACGACCAGTGGAAGAAGGAATGTCGCCACCCACTGTGCCTTTTACATGGTCCGCGGGTCAACTGACATACCGTGCTAAATGGCCAAAGTTCCGGTACGGTGCTCCGTGCCGATTTTTGTTTGTCACCGACTCACTTTATTCTCGTTGAGAACAAATTTCGCACAGTGTCACACAGGCGACCCGTGTGACCTTGTGCGAGTGTAAAATACAAAACACGATTTGTCAACGTTGTCGGCGGGCCGCCGAAGGACCTCGGTTGTCGTCCCGGCCCGCGGCCGCCCGCTGACCGGCGCGCTGTGACCCAACCGCCGGGAAACCTTTCCACCTGTTCTCACCGGCGCCGCACGCGTCTCCCGCTCTCACAATGCGCCAAATGGGATTTCACGGACGGCTGAGGACGAATGCGGCGCACTGGGGGCGAGCGCGGCGCACGCCCCGCCCGGTGTGCGTCACAATGGTCACCGTCGGCTCGCGCTGGCGGCGGTCGCGGCGCAGCGGCGGCGGTGGGTCTCTGTCGGGTCAAGGGCGGGGAGGGCGCCGGCGGCGCGGTCACGCCTGGCTGGAGGGCGCCGGGGCGCCGCGGGGCACCAGGAGGTCGGCAGGTGCCGGCGCCCTCCCCCGCCGCCGGCTCCCCTCCCCGCGGCACGCACCCTCCTCCGCTGCTCCGACGGGGAGGGGCCGCTGCCGGCTGCAGGCCGCGACACCGCGACTCCGCGGCGGCGGCGGCGGCGGCGACCCTTTGTTCGCGGCCTATGCAAATCGAGCGGCCCTTTTGCGCCACCGCTCACCCATTTACGCCTATCATCGGTTTTGTTTTTCAACCGTTCATGCCTGCTCGTCAGTCGTCACTATGTTGTGTTTTGCCGAGTTGCAGAGTTGTCCCGGGTACTGAGGAAGGGAAGGGGGAGGGGGGTGGTGGTTAGGGGGGGGGGGCTGCTGCACATCAACTGGCGGCCCGTGTTGTCCCTGTAACCCTGGTGACCCCCACTGACGTCATCAGGCCAGGACACCGCGCCGCCGACTCACTGAACACGATCGATTCTGCCAACACACCGACTCGGGGTGTTGATGTTCGGCGCAGTTCCAGACCGGGACAAAGGCCGACGGAGGAGCCGGAGCCGCACGAGCTGCACTGCGTCCATCGGCCGGGTCAGTCGACAGAGCGGGCGGTCCAACAGTGTGTGGACGGTACTGAGCTCTGTCCACCGGAGCCGACCACGGCGGAGGCGGCGAATATCAGGTGAGCAGGACCGACCTGTGTGTGTGTGGGGGGGGGGGGGGGTCTGTGTGTCCCTGTGTCTGTTGTTGAGTGTGTTTTGTGCGTCTGTGTCTATAGTCAGACAACATGTGTTTGTGTAACGGTGTGTATGTGATTCTGTGAGTCTTTGTGTATCTTCTCTGTGTGCTAGGTACCCGTCTTGATGTGTTTGGATGTCTGTGCTTCATTTGCCTGTATACTGTATGTTGGCGTGTCTGGCCTCTGTTAACATGCATTAACCCTCGCGGGCCCGGGGGGGGGCGTTTTTCGCCCCCCCTGGCGAATATTTGCGATAGCTCCCGAACGCTTAGGGATAGGAAAGCGAAACTTTCAGTACCTTTTCTCCCATCAATTTGACATCTTCTGGAGTAAAAAATTTGGACCTAGCCCCCTTGATGACGTCACAGGGTCGATTTTTCTAGACCCCTGCACGGCAAACTTCGGCGTCACAGACGCGAACTTCAAATAGCTGCCACAAATAGAGTTTTAGAGATAAAGACAAATTACGAGCACGGTTGTGTAGCGTTTGACCTAGAGAAAAATAGAAAAATAGTTTTGGTGACCTGAGGTCACAGGTCAGGTCAACGACCCCGAGCTGTGGTTTTAGTTTTTCGCAAATAACTTCGACAAAAATGGTCCTAGAGCTACGGCAGTGGTACCATCGCATTCGCCTTGTCAATCCGCGTCGAATGATATATGTTTTATTTGGAAAAGGTCAAGTTGTATGTTGACCTCATGTGACCTCGAATGACCTTTGGTTGACCTTGACACATGAAAGGTCATTTATGATGGATTCGTACCCGCTGATCACGAATCTAGCATCTATTTTCCTCTAAGCCTTCATTTAGAGCCTCCGGATGGCAAAATTGTCTTATTTATTATTACTAACTTGAACCAGTGAAATAGCCTCTAGCAAGGATACTCTTCTGTGACCTTGACCTTTGAGCAGCCTTGTATCGTAAGATGAACCACAAATAGAGACCTGATAAGCCTCAAAACATTTCAAAACATCTTGGAAGTTAGCACGCAAGATGTACGAAAAGTGCAAAGTTTGAGGTCAATTTTAAGCATGACCTTGACCTTGACCTTTGATTTTGAGCACATTTCCGGAATCCTCAGATTCTTTTCTTTCGTTTGACACCCAATTTTGCCGGTTTAATGCATCCTGCCGTCGTCTACAATGCTTACTTTGAGATCACTACACATGTGCCGGTTTTTGCCTTTGACCTTGACCTCTGACCTTGAAAATTGACCTGAGGTCAAAAATTTTAGGTGCTTTAGAATCGTCTCGTAAGGACCTTTCGTTTGGTATCGCTTTTGTTTCCGTAGCTCCCTTATTTACGGAGTTAGACAGGGGGGGCGAAAAACGCCCCCCCCGGGCTGCGGTGGTTGGGATTACCCCCCGGGCCCGGCCGGGTTAACCCGCGCGGGGCTGGGGTCTCCAGCCGAACGCGCGGGGCTGGTGGGGGGTAAATTTTACCCCCCCCCCCTGTTATCTCCCGAACTAATGGTCCGATTTGGAAAATTCGAACGCCAATCGAAAGATCTCATCACGAACAACTAAAAACGTGTACTTAATTTAAAGTTTATGGTCAAGGTCAAGGTCAGGTCAAGGGTACAAATTGCAAGTTCCTACGGTATCGGCCTTGCACCGTAGTTGCCGAAGAATGGAGTCATGGACTGAGACTGATTGCCCAAAACGTGTTCTTAGGCTACCAAGACAATATTCGTTGCAAACAATATCATTCAGAGTAGAGTTGCAAAGTTTTCCCAATGGGCTGCTACCGGCACCGCCCCGCCCCACAAAAATTTTCTGGGATACCGGCATGCTACCACGCCCCAAGCAAAAAAACCGCCAAATTACCGGCATACCGGTAATTTGGCGGTAATTTTAATACGGCATATGGAACTTTTACCACAAAATGTATTTTGCAGTGGCTAAGATTGCTGTTATTACAATTCAATAGCCTCTTAGTGTCCAAAGTTTGAATCATATGCTGATAATTTTTTTGTGTGCAAAATCAAAAATACCGGCATGCTACCGGCAAGACATGCCAGATACCACGAAAAAACCTGCGGTAGTGAAAAATTACCGGCATGCCGGTAGTGCGGTAGGGAAATTTTGCAACTCTAATTCAGAGGTCAAGGTCAAGGTCAGGTCAGGTCAGGTCACCAAAAACAAAATATAGAAAAGGGCATGTGCGACACATGTTTTATGGGTCATTTTACTCATAGAATTTAATAGGCACACTCAATAAGTGATATGGACCACCTCTGGATGAATTTCAGGTCGAGGTCAGGTCAAGGTCAGGTCAAGTGAGGTCAAATTTTGAAGTTGGTTGTTAAGGCCTCGAAAGATGTCTATCAGATGCAGTTTTTCACGGCGAATCGAATGGTGCTATTTTTGCTTCCGTACGAGGTCTAGAACTTAAAAAAAAATCATTTTTCAAAATTTTTGTGTGTCGTTACGTCATAAAATTTTGAATATCTCCCACATTTTTGAACCGATTCTTCTAAAAATTGGTAACTATGTGCACATAGACCACTTCTTTGACATATATTTCAGTTTTTACGATACACTCAGAATTATGGATTTTATAACTATTTTCCCAAAAAAGTCAGTTTTTTTAATTGGGTCAAAATCCAAAATTTTCAAAAAACTGAGATAGCCATTTGATAGACAAAGTAGAATTACGTATAACGTTTTGTTACGTCTTGATTCCTTTAAAAATGAAGATGTTAGCGGCGTTTGAAATTTTGCCGTTTTTGAGGTGAAAATGGCGAACATGACGTCACTAAAACGTCAATTTCTCAAAAAGTTTCCGACGGATTTCGCTCAAATTTTCAGGGAACGTGTCAAATTGATGTAAGAAAAGGTACTGAAAGTTTAGCGGCGCTGCGCGCCGCTGTTTTTGAGATATTGCAAAAATTCGCGAGGAGGGGTAAAATTTACCCCCCCCCCCAGCCCCGCGCGGGTTAACTGGGGGGAGGGCATAAGGGGTGGAACGGGGGGCACCGGGGAACCGTGTCCCCTTGATTTCGGCATTTTAACATAAGCCCTATTGGCTTTGCATGGAAAGAATGGAGCTAAAAGTCAGAAATGCCCCTTTAATTGAAGGTGTTCCGCGCTACTGCAAGGGGGCAAATGTCCCGTAGTGGCTGCCAGTTGCCTCTGCAGTCACGAGATTTTGCCCACCCTGTAGGAGTAAATATGAGGCACTTCAAATATTCTTCAAGCAGTCAAACCTGATGCGAAAATCAATCAATTTCCTGTTTCATTTTCATATTTTGTCGCCCGTGTTTACACTGTTCTTAGTATAATATCGTAGAGAACATCCAGCATCGTATCCACAATCTTGTGATTACCTTTACCTTAGGATACCCAGTGGATTTTTTAGCCCGCGCCCTGGTGGGGGATATTTTTGCCACCTCCCTCTTCTAGTCGTTTCGCATTATCTCTCAAACTAATGCGCCGATCGTCGCGAACATTTCAGTACCCTCTTGTAAATCGATTTTACACCTTGTGACCTTTTTCCACAGCCTATGATAGGTTGGCCGTAAATGACGTCAGAGTCACGTCATGTTCAGGCATTTCCGACCCAAAAGAGGTTTGGTGGGTAGAGCTGTCCAGCCCAAAGTTTTGAAGATAGATAAAAATGTTGAAAAAAACAAAAAGATATAAAACAAGCAGCGCTGCAAAACCACTATCTTCTTTTTTATATATTTGTTTTTATTTTGAACCACAAAATAAAAAGTGTTTTTTGAAATAATCCCCTGAAATAAAAAACGGATCTTTTTGTTAGCCCGCGCCCCGTTGGCGCGCACAAATTGCTCGTGAAACACATATTTTGCTATTTGAGGTCACTGATACCAGGTCAGGTAACAGAGGTCAGGTCACTGATGATCACAATATGAAGGTGTCGCGTAATACATGTTTAATGGTCCATTTTACATGACAAATGTGCTTATGTCATATGTGGGTAATGCAACCTTTTAGGCCAGTTTTAGGCTACGTTCTGGTGAAGGTCAGGTCAAGTTCAGGTCAAACTAGGTGAAATTTTAAAGTTGATGTTTTATAAAAATAAGTATTGATTACATGCAGCTCGTCACGGGAAGTCTCATCGCGGTCTTTGTTTTGCGCTACGTGGTCAGAATTGCTAAAAATGTATTTGGGAAATTATGCGTCATCATTTAAGAACAGTTTTTTCCGCTATAACTTAGCTAAAAAGAGAGGTATGTATCTCAAATTTGTTACGTGGATAGAAGACGATAGGGTCATAATATTTATTTCGTTTTTTATTCGAACTTCGAAAACCTTGTGGAACACTTTTTGCTATTTTATCCATAAACCCTTTTGGTCGAAAAATGCAGGAAATGACGTCTTTCTGACGTCATTTGTGGCCAGGCTATCATAGCTTTTGGGAACTGTTTGGTCACAATGTGTAAACTGAATGCCCGGAAGACAGTAGCGGTAGTTTTAGACATCGCAGCAACTTTCAAAATAGGCATGTCTTGGGGCCTTCAAGCCCTAGACCCACTTGTGAAAGTGGGACATGCGCATGCTCCGGGGCAGCACAGAGAGGAGGACCGAGAGCGTGTCACACGTCGCTCCTCACGAACTGTCTGTCCATAACTGTCAGCTCTGCCATCGCCCTGTTGACCAACTGGGACGCCACGGTCTCTCATGTGCCAAGAGTGCTGGCCGCCACGCACGTCACGCTAACCTTAATGACGTGCTACGGCGAGCACTCAGCAGCGCAGGACTTGAGAGTGTGCTGGAGCCCACCGGCCTTGACAGAGGAGATGGCCGACGTCCCGATGGGATTACACTCTTCCCTTTCAGCCGGGGAATGAGCCTCGTATGGGACGCTACCTGCTGCGACACTTACTCATCAACGGCCATCATCAGCTCCGCGCTGAATCCTGGGAGCGCCGCCCGCTGTGCGGAAGAGCGCAAGCGCACTCGATATGCAGCTCTCTGT